AGCTTGACAATTAAAAAGTACATTGTCATGCACCGTGAAAATGTAGCTACTGTCTCAACCATCAACCGTAATTCAAGCAAGACCAAGTTCTGGGAAAGAATATACAAAGGCTCGGCCAACAGCTCCAAAATGCACGCACAACCTGGCATAACAAGAGAACTTCATTGATAAAAGATCAAATTGTGATACTTTGAACAGTTATTCCAGGATGCATGGGGTTTTAAAAAAACGGCCGTGGTTGCGTTGCGGTCGCTTAAAGGCTTTTGCGATTACGGTCGGTACAAGTGTCGCAACACTGATTGCAGTCATCGCTGTGTGAATTAATCACAATTTATTCTTTAATATAAATTCGGTGATAAAGATATCGGTATCGGCACTTGTTGAAATCGTTTTGTCGCGGCCGTTTTCGCGGTCGCGGACTGTTTTTTAAAACCCACGGTACATTAATATTTTTTAACAGTAAGCTTCGGTGGATTACCATTGACCAAGACAGCTTGCCCATAAGGACTAAAATAACTTATTTGTTGCCACCAGAAGACAAAAAGGCAAGCTACAATGGTAACAAATATGCCAAGTGGGACACTCATCCACGCTACTTTCATTAGCTTCACGACATCTTCTTCCATTGAAGTATCATCACTATAATATGAAAAATATATATTTTAATGGAGCTCAGGCAAGAGCATAGGAAAATTCAATTTTAAAAATAAAAAAAGTTAATAACCTTTAAGGCATGCATCAAGCCCAACACTATTAGGCTTGAAGGGGTGTAATAAGAGTCTTAAATCAAATGAGATATGGCCTGAAATATGTTTATAAGTGGAGGAAAACCTCACCACCTTACAAACCGGTTTTGATAGTTGAGTTAAGCCAGACTCAAAATTCTAAGACATTCGATATAGATATAGATATAGGTATAACCAATAATTGAGAGACTCAAATCAGAATTTTAATAACTCTTCGGATTGAAACAATAACATAGTTTATCTAAAGCATCATAAAATAATAATTACTTACCTGTGATGCTATAGATCTAAACCAAACACTAAACTCATTTTATGCTGATGCGTGTTATAAATGAGTAGTTCAAAAGCATAGATTAGATAGGGATGACAAAGAGTACTAAAAGAACTAACAAACCCCTCATTATCCAGCATGGAAGAAGCCAAGTCACTAGTGATGCGTCCAACAAGAAAAACAATTTAAGAATACCATGAGCTTCTTCCATAGTACAGTGCAGTTATAACTGCATGAAACTGACTCGAACAGAATTAGTTATTCCGTTGAAATATGCAAGCTGAATGCAAGCTCAACAGAAACTAAGGCCCATTAGTTATTCTGTTGTGCAAGCTCAACAGAAACCAAGGCCCAAGGCCCAGTACAATAGAGTTAGCTACATGCAAGACAGAAGGCCCATAGCCCAATGAACAATGAGAGCACACCAACATATATTGTTAATAGCCAAACTAACTTGACAAAACATTGTAGAACACAGTTCTCTAAGCACATGGTTATTCCTACATGATAGACAAACCTTGGCCGTTACCTATGAAGACTTGTTCAGTTCCAGGCACAGAGGCAGAGTCAGACACATTAGAGGCATCAGGAGTAACATGATGAGAAGCTCCTGAGTCAGGATACCACCATTGATTTGCGCTACTAGCTTCAGTACCTGCATAAAAGGCTTGTGGTGCGGAAGATCTAGGAGGTGCAGCTCTGGGAGAAGGATAAGCAAACTGCACAGGATAAACAGCACGGGGAGCCACAAGGAAAGGATTGAAGGGAGCACGTTGTTGTGGATAACTAGCACCACTGGAATTTGCATAACGATAGTAGCATACTGAAGCATCATGACCAGGTTTGTGACAAATCTGACATGTTGATTTTCCAAAACGACCTCCACCACGGCCAAAACGACCACCGCCGCGACCAGAACGACCACCACGTGCGCCATAGGAATGATTTTCAGCATTAGCTGTGACATGACTCGTTCCTTGAGGACATGCCTCCGAGACGACTTGATCGGAGGCGACCGGAGCAGGGGAAGGTGTTGCCTGAGTAAGATTGACCGTCACCGGTTCCGCAATCGCAGCTTTGCGATGCTTCTCCAATCGCGACTCATGAGCAAGCAAGGAAGACTCCAATTCTTCCGAGGAGCTTACGTCATCTTTGCTATTAACGGCGGCGACGATAGAATCATAATCCTCAGGTAGCGAATCAAGAACGATCTCAATTAGGTTACGAAGAGGAACAGGATCACCGATGGAGGTTAGCGACTCACTGATCTCACGTGAACGCGTCATAAGCTCAGCAATCGTCAGTGAACCCTTCGTAAGACGCCGGAGCTCTGATCGGAGTTGACGAGCCTTGGTGGAGAGAAGAACGTCAAAGTAACGATGAACTTCTGTCCAGACTTGCCACGCGTGCTTGCACTCAACAAGCTTTGGAAGAAGTGCATCGGAGATGGTAGAAAGAAGCCAGGTGCAGGTGAGAGCATCCTGTTGCTCCCACTCAAGAAACACACTGTGAGATGCAGGATCTAAGGGAGACGGTGGCGGAATCACCGGAACAGTAACAAAGCGTTGAAGACGATGGCCACGAACGACGCCATCAATCTGCTGCTTCCACTGTTTGAAATTCTTGTCGTCAAGCTTAACAGAAATTAGGTGAGAAAGCTTCACCTGAGAGGAAGGAAACAAAGGCTCCATGGATCGGAAAAAAAAAACTTAAGCTCTAGATACCATGATAGAATTAGGTATAAGAGAGAGAATTGAAAGAGAATCTTATTGTATTCTGTATTGAACAGTGATACAAGAGGCTGCTATATATAGCAATGTAATCCTAACAAATAGCTGATAGAGTGTAACAAACTAACAGCTCAGCATAACAAAGCTGACAGCTCAGCACAACAGAATATAAAGATAAAATAAGGGCATGAATTGTAAACTACTCTATTAGCAAGCATATTGAGATCACTACTTGAGGGTGTTGCACCCTAAAATTTGCCCACCTAATTTCTCTTATCTGACTTAGACTTTTGCATTAATCTGCATATATTCCATTAGGACATTTTACATAACATTGCATTCAATAAAGCATTGTGGTTCAAAAGTTCAGTGGGCGTGCGATGTCAAGGTTTTCCTATTCTTTTGAGGTGTACATGTCAAATAAAGCTTGATGTTCCCGATTCTCCTGATTCTTGTTCAATCTGTGAATGCGTGAAATTAGGGTTTCTGTGGCTTCAAGGATATCCCTCCCATTCAAGGTTATTCAATGTATTCCTTCATCAATGATTCTAACTGAGAAGACTGCGAGTTATGGCTTTGATGTTAATTTGTTTCTTCATTCAGTGTACTTCTCATAAGATCGGGATTTTTAATTTATTATGCTTCAACCAGGGTTTGATCTTATGGTCATCTTGAGTCTATCACCTTCAACACTGTAGACCTGTTTTGAATGATACAATTTTTGGTTCTCATCAAATACTTGTTACTCCAATTACAAATTAACTTGGAATTTTGAGAGAAATCATAATTGATTTAGATTCATTGAAACTTCTAATCATGCTCGAAATTAATATTGATTCAAGGTCTTATTAAGTTCGTGATTTGTTAATGGTGGATTCAAGGTCTTATTAAGTTCGTGATTTATTAATGGTGGATTCAAGATAGGGTTGGAAGATTCATTCATATGGTTTCAAGGAAGATTCATTCACTGAAGTATTATTCAGGGAGAATCTAAAGTACGAATTCAAGATTCGTCAAATCATCAATCCAAAAATGTCAAGATTCATTCGAAAAATCAATAGTTCAAGAAAGAAATCAATACCACATTTCCAAATAAATCACTTAGTACATCACTTTGGGTATTTGACTTACACACTAGGCTTCATTCAAGAGGGAGTCACATTCAAAACTTAAAATGTGAAAAATGAAGGGGACTGATAAAGGGACTTTATTTCTTAAACTTACAAGTCAAACATACAAAAATTAAGGAAGTGTGTCAGCTCATTCAATAAAACCAGTGGAACCGATTCAGCTTTTAAGTCAATTCACTCCACAATAGCTAACCCAAAAAACCAATTCACTAACCTTTGTCATTTTATTAGCCCTCCAATTCAGTTATCACTAACAAACCAAGCTAACAGAATTCATAACCGCCAATGACAGCTCATCAATTTCCTAACAAATTCTGACCACCTTCAAACTGCACCCTAACTACATAGGACAAACAAAACCCAACTAACTGAAACTAATTTCAGAACCATCAATCTTTAACAGAAACCTAACCAACTTTGAGCTTATAACAGAAACAGAGATCGATAGTTTATGGAAAAAAAGAGAAAGATTCGCAAAAGGGACTAAAAAGAGAATTGACTATTTCAGAGAAACCAGTTATAACAAACTGACCAGAAATCCATTCTTGAATTCTCAGAAGAAAACTCACCAAGAACACCAGCAATCTCTTTCTTCTTCAACCGGCCGCATCATTCTCCAAGAACCTTGATCGATCGCCAGAATCGCTTTCAATCTTCATCTTCGAAAATCTCCCATTGTCATCAATTCTCCGACGGAATCCTTAACCGGCATCTCAAGCTTCATCATCTGGTAATAGGATCTAGGAATAATTCCATAAATGATTGAGTCCCAATCATTTGTGAGGTACGATAATACTGTAGTGGATCTGATTCCTAGGAGAGATAAGGCCTCTCAAAGTGCCTCTACTAGTTTCCTTCTATTTTTGCTGCTACTGCCTTTTATTGTACTGATTCTGCTAGATCCCATTTGAACTCTAGCCCTTTCTTAATACAATCAGTACTTTCTATCAGTTTCTTTGCACCATTTCCATGCATATTCCTGTTTAGATACTACATTGATTTTATCAGTTGATCAATCAATGAATGATATGTTAGATGACCTAATGGGAGTTATGTAAATGAGATGAAGAGTGCAAGATGCGTAAGCTAGATAAAAGCAAAGGAGTGGGACAAATTTGGGGTATTACAATACCATGGTACCAAAAACCAAAAACCTGACATCATTGAGTTTTGTGTGATTAAAGGCAGAAGGGATAGCAGGAAGAAAGCAGGGAAAGTATTGACTGGTCGTTTTAGGGATCGTTTTTGGACCAGGGTAAGGACCATGGAATGCGAAAAGTTTCCCTACAACAACAAAGGGGATCAGCATTTGGTGTTGCCATGTCTGGACTTTTGATTTCACCTTAATAGGAGGATTTGGAATAAAGTTTAAGCTTTGTTTAGCAGAGATGGTGTAAGCCATGGGGTTATCACCAGTAAAAGGAATATCAATTGGAGCGACCATTGCAAAAAATCAGAAGAAATTTTGCTAGGAATTTTTCAAAACTGGAAGATGGAAACTAAAGCAGAAGAAAGAGATGTTGAGTTCTTAAAAGGCTATTTAAGGAGGGATCAGAACCGTTAAGATCATAACAAATGGCGCTTGAATAGCGCGAGCAGGCAAAGAGTTAGTGGGGTTTGTTCAAAAACCCACACCCTAAAACCTAGGAGTAATCATGAAAAATGATGGAGGTGACATGGGAAACTGTTGCGCAGAAAGTAGTCATGATTGCGCATCACGTCATCTCAAGAAAGGTGTGCAGTCGAAAATTGGGAAGAAAAAATGACAGTATTCTCCCATCAACAAGCCTCCGTCGAACATGGCATTTTGGGGGGAAATTTATTGACAAGTAATTTTCGACTAAAGGAGTGAACCTAAAACTATGAGAATTTGTCTTGTTAAAAGGCATAGAATGGTGGAAAACGACAAAATACATCAAGCCTTGAGAGGATGTCGACCAAATGGGATAGTCGATAACAAAGCAGGTAAAGCATATACAACTCTCGACAGAGACAAAGGTCGAAGAAGCTAGAAGAGGAACGCACATTGGCAGGAACGGTTATCAACAGGCAAAACCAGCAAGAACGTGGGAGTGTTCAAACAGTCCCCACGAAGCCCAAAAATGGGCTAGTAACCGTCGATAATTACTTATTTAGGATGTGTATTTAAGCAAATTCATGTATTTGTGTTAGTGGTTGCATTCCTTTGCATTTAATAGCAATACACTCAAAGTACCCTCATCTAAGAGAGAAACGAGTTTCAAGCTTAACAATGTATGAATGCTTCCATATTTAAATTCTCAGCAATTTTACAATCTTTGATTTTACTTCGCATTTGTCTTTATCTTTTGCCTCTTTATATCATTTTTTAAACCCAAAAACAATCATCAACACATTAAGTTCGGGATTATTGTATTTGTCCCGCAAGTAACCTTTAATAAGAGGCTAGCGATTATTTCATAGAAAAACACCATTACATTGCAACAAAACAGTGTTGTCGAAAGTAAAAATCGATCGATTATGAACATGGTTAGAAGCATGTTAAAAGAGAAAAACTTGCTGAAAAATCAATGAGGGGAAGTCGTTTCCGCAGCTGCCTATTTGTTGAATAGGTGTCTTACAAAGAAGCTTGAGAATGTAACTCCAAAAGAGGTATGGTCTGGATTTAAACTGAATCTGAGCAACTTAAGAGTTTTTGGTTCGATAACGTATCGACATGTTTCGGATCAACTTAGAAAGAAGTTGGATGACAAAGGTGAGGTGATGTTACTTGTTTGTTATCATCCTACTAGAGATTATGTGTTTTTTGATGTTGCAAACAAGAAGATCGTGATCAGTCGGGATGTCATGGTTGACAACTGAAGCGTGCCGAGCTGTCTGGAACTGGTGTTACAGGTGGTGTAACCGGTTATCAAAATCATGTAACTAGTTACGTGCACGATTTTATGGATTCTCAGGCTACTGGAACTGATTTGACAAACGCTGTAACCAGTTACCAAAATCATGTAACCCATTACAGGCACGATTTTTTCAATTCTCATGATGCTAGAAGTACATAACAACAATAATCAGAGATAAAGATGATCATAAGTCTACAGCCAGATACATCTTTATGTTCGGAGGATCATCAATCTCATGGTGTTATAAAAAGGAACCACTGGTTGCACTCTCGTCTTATGAGATCGAGTATATTGTCGCTTCGTTATGTACGTGCCAAGTCGTTTGGTTGAATCTATTGAAAGAGTTAGACATCAATGAGGGTGAGGCTGTCACACTCTTAGTTAACAATGTTTCAGTCATTAATCTTGCTAAGAATCCGATTGCACATGGGAGGAGCAAGTGATAGAATTAGGTATAAGAGAGAGAATTGAAAGAGAATCTCATTGTATTCTGTATTGAACAGTGATACAAGAGGCTGTTATATATAGCAATGTAATCCTAACAAATAGCTGATAGAGTGTAACAAACTAACAGCTCAGCATAACAAAGCTGACAGCTCAGCACAACAGAATATAAAGATAAAATAAGGGCATGAATTGTAAACTACTCTATTAGTCCCCTTTAGAAGCTGCTGACAAGTTTGTCAAAGCAATCTTATCCAACACACGCAGCTTGGAACGAAGAGGTACAAACTTGGCAGCAGACAGGGGCTTGGTGAGAATGTCAGCCCATTGGTCTTGAGCTGGAACATGAGCAACAGTCAGACTCTTGCTGAGTACTTTCTCTCGCAGAAAGAAGATATCAAGCTCCATATGCTTAGTCCTGTTGTAGAGAATAGGATTGTGAGCCAGAGTGACAGTGCTCAAGTTATCACACAAGATCTTAGGAACTTGAGAGGAATAATGGAGTTCCTTAAGCAAGGACTGAATCCAAATGAGTTCAGCAGCTAGCTGAGCCATACTACGATATTCTGCTTCAGCACTGGACCTTGCCACCAGTTGTTGTTTCTTGGACCACCAAGAAACAGCATTAGGACCAAGGTATATACAGGCCCCTGAAGTGGATCTCCTGTCATCAGGGTCTGATGCCCAGTCTGCATCACAGAACCCTAGCAACTGCATTGGTTGCTGAATGTAAGCAGGCTGAATAAGCAGACCATGGTGTAGAGTACCACTTAGGTACCTTAAGATTCTTTTAACAGTCTTCCAATGATCCTCTAAAGGATTGGACAAAAACTGACAGACTTTATTGACTGAAAAGGAAATCTCTGGCCTAGTTAAAGTAGCATATTGAAGGGCACCAACCACAGACCTAAACTGAGTAGGATCATCAACAGCAGCTGACCCAACCTTGGACAATTTGCTGCTAGAGACCATAGGAGTAGGCATGCCATTGGCATTCAACATATTAAGCCTGGAAAGCAAATCTGTGATGTACTTAGTCTGAGATAGGAGAAGGGAACCATTGGAGAGATGAGTCACTTGAATCCCTAGGAAATAATCAAGTTGTCCCAGCTGTTTGAGAGAGAATCTATCATTGAGATGCTTGATCAAGGAAGCTATAAAAGGAGCAGAACTACCTGTGATGATGATGTCATCAACATAAACCAGAATCATAATCTGAAGTTTACCTTGATGCAGCAAGAATAGGCTAGGATCACATCTACTAGCCTTAAAACCAAGTTGAACCAAGGCACTCTTGAGCTTATCAAACCAGGCCCTAGGAGCTTGTTTTAAACCATAAATAGCCTTGTTTAACTTGCAAACAAGAGTCCTATCAGCAGCTTCAAACCCAGGAGGTTGTTGCATAAATACTTCCTCTTCAAGAATGCCATTTAGGAAGGCATTGTTAACATCAATCTGCTGCAAGGGCCGCCTGTTTGTAACAGCAATAGAAAGGACAATTCTCAGTGACAGGTTTAATGACAGGAGAAAAGGTCTCTTGAAAATCACTACCAGCCTTTTGATGGAACCCTTTAGCCACTAATCTGGCTTTATACCTGTTTATGGAACCATCAGAGTTCTCCTTAGTTCTGAAAACCCACTTGCATCCAATAGGCTTCCTACCAACAAGAGCTTTCACCAAAGTCCAGGTCTGATTTCTCAGCAGTGCCTGATGTTCTTCCTTCATGGCCTGAAACCAGTTAGGAGCAGCCAAGACTTGCTCAACAGAAGTAGGTTCTAGGTGGGCTAACAATAGAGTAGGGTGGAGTCTAGGGAGAGTAATGCCTCTTTTGGCTCTAGTTTGCATAGGGTGGATATTTTGAGGATGAATGGAAGGTAAAGCTATGGCAGAAGGGCTGGAAATAGGACTAGGGCTGGAAATAGGACTAGGGCTTGGACTAGGATAAGGGCCAACTGAAGGAGAGGAATTGGAAGAAGAGGGAGAGAGAGTGCTAGCTTCAGCTAGATCAGAGAGAATGAGGGCAGGGGAGGAAGAAGCAGAAGTGGTAATGGGAATAGCAGTTAGGGGTTGAGGGATAAGTTGCTGACCAGAAGAAGAAGAGTTGTGAGAGGGAGCAGTAGAGGAAGAGGAAGGAGACATGTGAGATACATGAGGAACATTGTGACTGCCAGGCTGAGTAAAGGCAGAATTTGAGGGAGAGAAAGGAAGACAAGATAAACTGGGAGTAGAAGGAGCAGAGACAGAGGGAACAGGTGGGAAGCTGAGAGAGGGAGAGGAGGAGGATGCTGAATTAGAATGAGGGGAAGGTTTAGAAGAAGAAAATAATGTGGAATAAGGAAAATTTGCTTCATGAAAGACAACACCCTTGGAAATAAAAATACGGCCATCTGAAGCTAGACATTTATAGCCTTTATGAGAGGTAGAGTATCCAAGGAAGATGCATAATTGAGATCTAAAGTCAAGCTTATGAGAGTTATAGGGACGAAGGAAAGGATAACAAGCACATCCAAAGACTTTAATAGTAGAATAGTCAGGGGTTTTGTGAAGTAATTTGTAATAAGGTGAGACATTGTCAAGGGTAGGAGTAGGAATTCTGTTGATGAGATATGCAGCTGTAATAAATGCATGATCCCAGAATTTTAAGGGAAGAGTGGACTAAGCAAGAAGTGTGAGACCAGTCTCAACAATGTGCCTATGCTTGCGTTCAACAAGACCATTTTGGTGATGTGTATGAGGACAAGTGAATCTATGGACAATCCCAAAATCTGTGAGATATTTAGTAAGAGGCCTAAACTCACCTCCCCCATCAGTTTGGACGCATTTAATGGGACAGTTGAATTGAAGCTCTACCATTTTCTTAAACTGAAGGAACTGAACCAAGGTGTCAGACTTAAGTTTGAGAGAAAAAACCCAAACAAACCTAGAGAAGGCATCAACACATGTTAGGAAATAGGTATAACCACTGGAAGATTGCATAGGGGCAGGACCCCAGAGATCACACACAACAAGCTCAAAAGGATGAGAGTAAACTGTGGTAGACAATGAAGAAGGAAGTCTATGAGACTTGCCAATGCAGCAAGCATGACACAACTCTGCAGGGGGTTTAGGTGGCATAGACAGTTTACATAGTTTAAAAATTTCAACAAGAGCGTGATGGTTAGGGTGTCCCAACCTAGTATGCCAAAGCACATATTTATTAGATACCATGATAGAATTAGGTATAAGAGAGAGAATTGAAAGAGAATTTCATTGTATTCTCTATTGAACAGTGATACAAGAGGCTGCTATATATAGCAATGTAATCCTAACAAATAGCTGATAGAGTGTAACAAACTAACAGCTCAGCATAACAAAGCTGACAGCTCAGCACAACAGAATATAAAGATAAAATAAGGGCATGAATTGTAAACTACTCTATTACCAATCAACAAAACCAACTTGAGGGATTCAGTCAAGCAATTTGCTAATTTCTTGTGTTTTCCTGGGTATTCTCCTGTCAGGCATTACAAAAACATTATTCAGTTTGTGAAATTGAAAGCAATTTCACTATAGCCGTAAGCCCAGCTATAACAGTAAGCTTTATGATTAAACATAAACAACAACAACTACAACAATAACAATTAACTGGTAGTTAATTAAACCTAACACACTGCAGTGAATGGGGAAAAGAGAGATAATAAACAAGAGTTGAGAACACCAAAAGCTATATGTATTATGATTTCTAAAGAGGCAGAAAATCATAATGAGCGAGAGTGAAGTAGAAGTAAATAATAACTGCAAAGAGAGCAAGACAGCTTTACAGTTCAAGCATCAAAAAAGCAAGAAAGAAATAGAACCTGAAGCAGACCTTGCAAATGTTGTATATGAACTTTCTTCAAATGGTAAAAAGACAAGTCTCACCACTAAGCTACCTGAAAGGTGGTATTTTCTTTAAAAGACAATCATGTTTAGACAACAATAGTTAAGCTTAATGCAATTAGAAGATTTAGAAACACAATAGTGCTTCTCAATAAATAAATAAAAGTACTCTTAATGCAATTAGAAGATTTAGAAACACAATAGTGCTGCTTAATAAAAAAATAAGTACTCTTAGTGTAATTAGAAGATTTAGATACACAATAGTTAAGCTTTCTAGCGACTAGCACAAATTATCTAACCCATATACTGACCTAATTTATCCACGAGGCCGTATACAGCTTGATTATATGGTGTATCAAACCATACAAGCACTATCTTCTCCCCTTCCTGAAGAATTAGCTTTCGAAACGATTGAAAGGTAAACAGCGTGCACATCTTCGAAAGCTGCTGGTCAAATCCAAAAAAGTTTCCTTTTCTGCAAAAATTTGTTACTTATAAACTGCACGCTTATAACATAAATAAGCAAACATCAAACAAAATAAAGTTCATAAACATTATCAAGTTTCCACTATTTCCTTGCAAAGCATATTCAATATATCATAAATTAAATCAAGAGAAAATCATGTGTAATCAGAAGACAAGATAGGTTAAGACTGGCATCATTCTGACACAACACAATAGACTAATACAGGTAAGTGTACAGTTAGGATTGAACTCAAAAACCAAGAAGTAATCTGTTGCTATACTGAACTGAAACAAAAGAGATATCCGCTTACAATGGTTCTGAAACGAATGAAATCAATAATGAAAGGAAAAATGAAATGGAGTAGATTACTACTTTGTTTGAGATGGATTTAACAGAGAAAAAAAAAAGGAAAAGGAAAAGGAAATATACCAAAACCATACCCAATATCTCAAAAACTGCCCACTACGGTTACTCCTCCCCTCCCTAATACCCTTTTCATGATTCACCCAGATTCCCCAGATTCTCCCCTTCAATCCCTTCCTTCCACATGTCCCTTTTTTGTCATCACTCTTTTCTCTCCATTCCTGCATCTGTAACAAGTTTTTCCTATTTTCAAAAGGTTGCAAGCCCGATTCATGGACCCGTTTTCATGTGCTTAATGGGCCTATCATGCACCCGACAAGAAAAAAGAGAAGATAACTAGACATGGAATTTAACATTGTTCAACTGACAGCAAACTAAAGGCTTACATCCACATATAAAACAGAAAAATAATTGATCAATCAAGATTACAAGGAGTAGCTTCAGGCAAATGTGATCCCTCTGAAATGATTTAAGATCTAGCCTATTATATTCCTATATTAGCTTGTCAGACCACTGCTTGTAATAGAAGTACACAACCCTTTAGTTCTAAATTTATGAAAAGTCCTACTTTTAAATTTCCTTCATCTTCTGGATGAGAAAGTAATAGAAGTAACAGGTATCAACCATGTGCAGAAATTTATGTCAAAAACAAAAAACTGTACCTGAATGGGAAAAGGTAAGAATAGCTAAGTTTCCGAAAAAGAAGCAGATATCCCCAATAACCAAGAAATAAGCAGGCTCCATAAGCAGACTGTGACAACGCAAATATGATTGATTTTTCCTGGAATTTATCATTCACCTCAGAAATCAGTTGTTACATGGAGATTACCAAAGTCCACCACACTATTGTGTAAACTCTGGATTATAATTATACATCAAACTCCAATGCACTTTGATAAACTAGTTCTTATAAAATGCAGGATAGGGAAATGAAACAAACAAATATGGATTTTTTTAATTCAGACATGTTGTTTCCAAAAACTAATGAAATAAATTACTTGAAAGAAGCAACACTGTTGCTTACTATCCATAATGCAAGAGTGAAGCACTAGAAGTTCCTTTTGCTTGGCCATTAAACTGCCAAAATTTGACAATTAAAGAGTCAAAGGCTAGAATTTGTGGGGTTTGACATCTATGTATAGAACTATTCTGTAGAGGTTTTACAATAAGATTTTTTTTTTATCACAGATTAAATCATCAGCAAATAATCTATTTTTTATTGTAATTTAACTTCTCTAACTTCCAGTTTCTGTAATTGCTCCTGCTTATTGGATTGCATTTCTTATTCATCTGAACAGCTTTCGGTTCGTCGAGAATGTAACAAATGAATTATTTATAGAAGCAAAAATTAATAGAATACGCTGTCTAATGATCTCACTTTTAATAAATTAGAAAAAAATGTTTGTAGAGAGAAAAACAACAGTAAGTAGTTTGTAAAGACAACAGTAGCTGACAAAAGAGAAACTTGTCCAATAACTAACCTGTCATTGGTATGTCACAAGAATAGTAGAAAACACATTGACTGTCAGCTTAATGATAAGGAAAGTAAAGACTAAAATATATGCTCAGTATAGCTAAGTTATTACCATTCCAGTTAGCTTGACAATTAAAAAGTACATTGTCATGCACCGTGAAAATGTAGCTACTGTCTCAACCATCAACCGTAATTCAAGCAAGACCAAGTTCTGGGAAAGAATATACAAAGGCTCGGCCAACAGCTCCAAAATGCACGCACAACCTGGCATAACAAGAGAACTTCATTGATAAAAGATCAAATTGTGATACTTTGAACAGTTATTCCAGGATGCATGGGGTTTTAAAAAAACGGCCGTGGTTGCGTTGCGGTCGCTTAAAGGCTTTTGCGATTACGGTCGGTACAAGTGTCGCAACACTGATTGCAGTCATCGCTGTGTGAATTAATCACAATTTATTCTTTAATATAAATTCGGTGATAAAGATATCGGTATCGGCACTTGTTGAAATCGTTTTGTCGCGGCCGTTTTCGCGGTCGCGGACTGTTTTTTAAAACCCACGGTACATTAATATTTTTTAACAGTAAGCTTCGGTGGATTACCATTGACCAAGACAGCTTGCCCATAAGGACTAAAATAACTTATTTGTTGCCACCAGAAGACAAAAAGGCAAGCTACAATGGTAACAAATATGCCAAGTGGGACACTCATCCACGCTACTTTCATTAGCTTCACGACATCTTCTTCCATTGAAGTATCATCACTATAATATGAAAAATATATATTTTAATGGAGCTCAGGCAAGAGCATAGGAAAATTCAATTTTAAAAATAAAAAAAGTTAATAACCTTTAAGGCATGCATCAAGCCCAACACTATTAGGCTTGAAGGGGTGTAATAAGAGTCTTAAATCAAATGAGATATGGCCTGAAATATGTTTATAAGTGGAGGAAAACCTCACCACCTTACAAACCGGTTTTGATAGTTGAGTTAAGCCAGACTCAAAATTCTAAGACATTCGATATAGATATAGATATAGGTATAACCAATAATTGAGAGACTCAAATCAGAATTTTAATAACTCTTCGGATTGAAACAATAACATAGTTTATCTAAAGCATCATAAAATAATAATTACTTACCTGTGATGCTATAGATCTAAACCAAACACTAAACTCATTTTATGCTGATGCGTGTTATAAATGAGTAGTTCAAAAGCATAGATTAGATAGGGATGACAAAGAGTACTAAAAGAACTAACAAACCCCTCATTATCCAGCATGGAAGAAGCCAAGTCACTAGTGATGCGTCCAACAAGAAAAACAATTTAAGAATACCATGAGCTTCTTCCATAGTACAGTGCAGTTATAACTGCATGAAACTGACTCGAACAGAATTAGTTATTCCGTTGAAATATGCAAGCTGAATGCAAGCTCAACAGAAACTAAGGCCCATTAGTTATTCTGTTGTGCAAGCTCAACAGAAACCAAGGCCCAAGGCCCAGTACAATAGAGTTAGCTACATGCAAGACAGAAGGCCCATAGCCCAATGAACAATGAGAGCACACCAACATATATTGTTAATAGCCAAACTAACTTGACAAAACATTGTAGAACACAGTTCTCTAAGCACATGGTTATTCCTACATGATAGACAAACCTTGGCCGTTACCTATGAAGACTTGTTCAGTTCCAGGCACAGAGGCAGAGTCAGACACATTAGAGGCATCAGGAGTAACATGATGAGAAGCTCCTGAGTCAGGATACCACCATTGATTTGCGCTACTAGCTTCAGTACCTGCATAAAAGGCTTGTGGTGCGGAAGATCTAGGAGGTGCAGCTCTGGGAGAAGGATAAGCAAACTGCACAGGATAAACAGCACGGGGAGCCACAAGGAAAGGATTGAAGGGAGCACGTTGTTGTGGATAACTAGCACCACTGGAATTTGCATAACGATAGTAGCATACTGAAGCATCATGACCAGGTTTGTGACAAATCTGACATGTTGATTTTCCAAAACGACCTCCACCACGGCCAAAACGACCACCGCCGCGACCAGAACGACCACCACGTGCGCCATAGGAATGATTTTCAGCATTAGCTGTGACATGACTCGTTCCTTGAGGACATGCCTCCGAGACGACTTGATCGGAGGCGACCGGAGCAGGGGAAGGTGTTGCCTGAGTAAGATTGACCGTCACCGGTTCCGCAATCGCAGCTTTGCGATGCTTCTCCAATCGCGACTCATGAGCAAGCAAGGAAGACTCCAATTCTTCCGAGGAGCTTACGTCATCTTTGCTATTAACGGCGGCGACGATAGAATCATAATCCTCGGGTAGCGAATCAAGAACGATCTCAATTAGGTTACGAAGAGGAACAGGATCACCGATGGAGGTTAGCGACTCACTGATCTCACGTGAACGCATCATAAGCTCAGCAATCGTCAGTGAACCCTTCGTAAGACGCCGGAGCTCTGATCGGAGTTGACGAGCCTTGGTGGAGAGAAGAACGTCAAAGTAACGATGAACTTCTGTCCAGACTTGCCACGCGTGCTTGCACTCAACAAGCTTTGGAAGAAGTGCATCGGAGATGGTAGAAAGAAGCCAGGTGCAGGTGAGAGCATCCTGTTGCTCCCACTCAAGAAACACACTGTGAGATGCAGGATCTAAGGGAGACGGTGGCGGAATCACCGGAACAGTAACAAAGCGTTGAAGACGATGGCCACGAACGACGCCATCAATCTGCTGCTTCCACTGTTTGAAATTCTTGTCGTCAAGCTTAACAGAAATTAGGTGAGAAAGCTTCACCTGAGAGGAAGGAAACAAAGGCTCCATGGATCGGAAAAAAAAAACTTAAGCTCTAGATACCATGATAGAATTAGGTATAAGAGAGAGAATTGAAAGAGAATCTTATTGTATTCTGTATTGAACAGTGATACAAGAGGCTGCTATATATAGCAATGTAATCCTAACAAATAGCTGATAGAGTGTAACAAACTAACAGCTCAGCATAACAAAGCTGACAGCTCAGCACAACAGAATATAAAGATAAAATAAGGGCATGAATTGTAAACTACTCTATTAGCAAGCATATTGAGATCACTACTTGAGGGTGTTGCACCCTAAAATTTGCCCACCTAATTTCTCTTATCTGACTTAGACTTTTGCATTAATCTGCATATATTCCATTAGGACATTTTACATAACATTGCATTCAATAAAGCATTGTGGTTCAAAAGTTCAGTGGGCGTGCGATGTCAAGGTTTTCCTATTCTTTTGAGGTGTACATGTCAAATAAAGCTTGATGTTCCCGATTCTCCTGATTCTTGTTCAATCTGTGAATGCGTGAAATTAGGGTTTCTGTGGCTTCAAGGATATCCCTCCCATTCAAGGTTATTCAATGTATTCCTTCATCAATGATTCTAACTGAGAAGACTGCGAGTTATGGCTTTGATGTTAATTTGTTTCTTCATTCAGTGTACTTCTCATAAGATCGGGATTTTTAATTTATTATGCTTCAACCAGGGTTTGATCTTATGGTCATCTTGAGTCTATCACCTTCAACACTGTAGACCTGTTTTGAATGATACAATTTTTGGTTCTCATCAAATACTTGTTACTCCAATTACAAATTAACTTGGAATTTTGAGAGAAATCATAATTGATTTAGATTCATTGAAACTTCTAATCATGCTCGAAATTAATATTGATTCAAGGTCTTATTAAGTTCGTGATTTGTTAATGGTGGATTCAAGGTCTTATTAAGTTCGTGATTTATTAATGGTGGATTCAAGATAGGGTTGGAAGATTCATTCATATGGTTTCAAGGAAGATTCATTCACTGAAGTATTATTCAGGGAGAATCTAAAGTACGAATTCAAGATTCGTCAAATCATCAATCCAAAAATGTCAAGATTCATTCGAAAAATCAATAGTTCAAGAAAGAAATCAATACCACATTTCCAAATAAATCACTTAGTACATCACTTTGGGTATTTGACTTACACACTAGGCTTCATTCAAGAGGGAGTCACATTCAAAACTTAAAATGTGAAAAATGAAGGGGACTGATAAAGGGACTTTATTTCTTAAACTTACAAGTCAAACATACAAAAATTAAGGAAGTGTGTCAGCTCATTCAATAAAACCAGTGGAACCGATTCAGCTTTTAAGTCAATTCACTCCACAATAGCTAACCCAAAAAACCAATTCACTAACCTTTGTCATTTTATTAGCCCTCCAATTCAGTTATCACTAACAAACCAAGCTAACAGAATTCATAACCGCCAATGACAGCTCATCAATTTCCTAACAAATTCTGACCACCTTCAAACTGCACCCTAACTACATAGGACAAACAAAACCCAACTAACTGAAACTAATTTCAGAACCATCAATCTCTAACAGAAACCTAACCAACTTTGAGCTTATAACAGAAACAGAGATCGATAGTTTATGGAAAAAAAGAGAAAGATTCGCAAAAGGGACTAAAAAGAGAATTGACTATTTCAGAGAAACCAGTTATAACAAACTGACCAGAAATCCATTCTTGAATTCTCAGAAGAAAACTCACCAAGAACACCAGCAATCTCTTTCTTCTTCAACCGGCCGCATCATTCTCCAAGAACCTTGATCGATCGCCAGAATCACTTTCAATCTTCATCTTCGAAAATCTCCCATTGTCATCAATTCTCCGACGGAATCCTTAACCGGCATCTCAAGCTTCATCATCTGCATTCATTCACTCTGCGTTTTTCAACTACTTCGCAACATCACCATCACGGTTTCTGCATCAAGAATAACCGCAACATCATGAATCACATATAATGTATCGTTATTGTTCAATGGCGATGATACTCAGAAAAGTAAAGTTCATAGAATTGAAAGAACAAGCGCAGAAGAAGATTTCAGCAAGAAAGTAAAGGAATCGCGAAGTATTACCTAAAGATCGCTGGGTTTCTATCGCTGTTCGCCGTCGTCGAAGTCGCATCGGACGATCTCCGATAGGTAAGCCTCGATATCTTTTTTTGGCGTCGATTTTACATCGGAGATGGCTCGAACGCTTCTGAACCAGAACCGAAACTTAATAGCTTCAAACATTCATCATCTTTCTGTAACTACGAACGTGAAGCCTGATGCGGTGTAGAGGATGAAGTCTACAATGGTTGGAGCGGAGAGGTATGGAGAGTTAAGCGGAGGTATGATGCGGATGAGAATGGCCGCCGATGTGTTGGTGAAGAAGAGTCGCACCATGAGAGAAGAACGAAGAAGAGGAGTGATATCGGATGGAGACGAAATTGGGATAATATCAAAGGTGGAGGGTTTGGTTTGTGACGGAGATCGCCGTCGTGCCTGGTTTCCGTGAGGTAGAAGAATGACTCTTGAATGACTCGTGGGAGACGAAGAGTCTCAGTCCTTCAAGCATATCCTAACTATCTAAACGACATTGTTCCTCTCTTTCTATTATTCCATTTTATTATTTAAATTCAATAAATAATCATAAAGACTGAACAAATTTCTGAATGGATATAAGATAGATTGTTAGATCACTAGGCCCGTTTTTATCTTTAAAAAATCTTCTTACGGGCTTATATAATGGACCTAGCGCCAAACTCATGCTGACTGAATCAAACACACTGAGTCTGACTTACACCTCGTTATGAGCGATTTGATTTTAGATTTTTTTAAGAATTTCATTTTATTGGATTTTATTAACAAAATATTGATGTAATAAAAAAAACACTAAAAAAACTTAGTAGAATTTTCAAGAGTTGTTTTTTTAGAAATTAATTAAGATATCTCCTATTATTTTTTTATTTTTTTAGCCTTCTGGAGTTTAAATTTTGCAAATAATCATGAACATTTTTTTGCTTGTGATTCGATATCATTTTCGAGTTGTAATTTGATATTTGAGTGATTCTTACGTTTCCTTGTAATTTGCTAACTCTTTTGGTGATTTGTGCAAGGTGGAAGGCGCTTTATCGCTCGATGTGATTTATTTGAATATAATCTCGTTGTATAGACTTGCCTTGTGCAGGAATTTTTGTTTGATGTGATTTCTCTGCTTGCGATTTATTTTTGCACCGCGATATTGGATCCTCATTGGATATTTTTCTGATTGTTCCTTTGTTTTTGATGCTAGCTTGCACGTAGTATTTTGGGTTTCTTTGTTCTGCTTGCGTTGGTACGAACTATTATTCGTTTGGTATCATTATGCTTCCCTTTTACTACTTCCATGCTTTATCGCTTTCTAGAGACCATGAGAAGTAGGAAGCAGGAAATAAAGAGCATGCGCTCAAAGTATCTGTTTAAATACCTGTAGCAAGCACCGCTTTCAGTATGCTATTTGTGTTTGTTTAAAACCCTACCTTTGATGTAGGTATTCTGCAGGTGTGTTTATATCTTGTGCTTGCATAGCGGTGTGATGGTTTTAGGTCCTTTCATGGAAAACATCATTAACTCCTCAAGGAAAAGGGGCAAGTGGAAAGGTTTCGCAATCAACCCCCACCAGTTTTAGTCTGTGTCGTTTCCTACGCTTCCACCGAGCTACGAACATGTCTCCAAGATCTTGTATCGAGTCCATCAAGTGGAAGAAGGGTTAAACCAATCCCCACGCTTTGTCAAGAGCTCGCATTGCCCGATGTTGAAGCCCCGTTGTTGTACCCCAAAACTTGTCCTCTCTTTTCTCAAGGCATTTCTCACAAGGATTCTAAAAAAAATTCAAGCTTACGCAAGTACAATTGGATTTTTCAGCATCAAGTTAAAGGGGAAACTGTTAAAAAAGGCAAAGCAGATAAAATATAATTGTTTTGACAAAATTGAAGGAAAAATAAGTTTCCTTCGATTCACATCCTTCGATTGGACTTCTAGCCTATTTCGATGCAAGCTTGGCTTGCATCCTTCAATGGGGCCTTGGCCTCTGACACGCTGGCTTTGATTCACAAAGCAGGAGCTTCCTGCATGCAACCTTCGATTGCATCATTGGCCTTACATGGTTCACAAATTAATGGTGGCTTGCATACCTGCTTCGATTGGACATTTGATGCATGCATGCCTGTGTTAATTGGACAAATAATTCCCTTCATGCTTGCTTTAATTCACAAAGTGATGGCTGGCTACAGGTAGCCTTCGATCGAACAATAGTTTCCTTCTTGCATGCTTCAAAGCAAGAGGCTCCCACCAGGCCAGCAGGCAAATAAACCCTTTGTGACCTCTTTCGATTCAAAGAGGAAAATCCTCATGTTTGGCTTTCTTCGATTCAGGAGGCAAAGGCCTTTTTTTTGTCTCCTTCAATTTTACCCTTTACCTCCTGCATGCATTTTTCGCTTGGGGCGCGTGGCTTCCTTCAACACAAGATTTGGTTACATTCTTCATTTGGGCTTGTGGCCTCCTTCGAATGCAGGTTCGTTTGGCCATATGGACCTTTGACAGGAAAGTTTCATTTGAACAGTGGCTCTTCGTACAAGCTTTCATTTGAGCAAAGACCTCTTGCATGTTTGCTTGAAGTTACAAAGTAATGGTCTCCTGCAACTCTCCTTCGACTCAGAAGCTATTGGTTTTGCATGTTTGCCAAATTCACAAGGCATAATTTCGCCTTCATGCTAGCGCTCCCAAAGCAGGGACCTCCTGCATACACCCTTTCGTTTGGCCATGTGACCTTTGGCAGGCAAGCCTTCGATTGGACAAGAGCCACCTTCACACAAAGCTTCGATTTTTGGAGTTTTGATTCCCTTCGAATCAGTATACTTCGAATCCAATCTGGACCTTTCGAGCAAGCTTGTTTGAAGAACATTGAGCAAACCCCATAGCCTTATCCTCCAAATCTCACTTGTCAGGCTATGTTACTTCCAAATCTTTACATAATCAGAGGCTTACGCAAGTTTGTGATACATTATGCAAAGATTGGAAGCTTTATCCACTGGATAATACCATTCTTGGATAAAATGGCAAAAAGCCACGTACTCTTTTTTTCATAAAGAGTATTTTAATCACAAAGTTAGCTTCCAATCTGATTTTTGTCTGAACACAAGCAATGACAAAAGCATAAGTCCAATCTCCTGTACCCACCAGACAGCATCCCCCCCACTTGTACTTGAAAATTGTTCTTTTTCGCTTTCATATTTTATTATTTTGCAAAGCTGACCACTTCAAAGACCTACAAACTTTTCTCTATAAATAGAGAAACAATTGGCAAGCTTAAGGGGGGGTTTTTTAGAGGACTTTTGGGTGGTGCGGAAAGAATCTTCAAAAAATCATCAAAATCTCAAAAAACTCTTAAAATCTTAAGATTCTCAAACACTAAACACAAACCCAGAATCTAAAGAAACACAACACTTGTTTCTTTTTTCCTCTTTCGAATCTGAAGCAATCCCCACACTTTATTTTTCTTTTGAATCCTGCAGAAAGAAAACTACACCTGTTCTTCTCCTTCGAATTCAGAAATAACAAACACCACCCCCACACCTCCTGACCTTCGAATCCAGTCGAACAAACACCTCACCTGTTTATTTCCTTTGAATCCAGGAGCATCTAGTCCAATCACTCAAGGTCAAACACACGTTCCAGCTTCAAGCAAGGTAAGTCATTATGACCTTAAACTCTTCGTTTGAAGCATGCACACAATATTTGTTTCCTTTTCATTTCCACCATTTTAGCTTGTTTTCATTGCTAACCCTTTTGGTTTTGCTTCTTGGTTTATCAAATGCTTTTAAGAACTAACCTGGCCATAAGACAATGCTGGCATGACCTCGGGCCATGTTGTTATTTAAATCCCAAACAAAGGTAAACATGAGGAAGGAAGTATGAATCGAAGCTTTAGGCTTCCCCCTAGCTGCTTCATAGTTGCAAGCAGAACAAAGAGTGTGGCCTTAGACTTTGCCACACACGGACTTCCAGACCATTCGAAGGAAGCAGAAAATGACGCTAGAAGGATGTCCACACTGACTTCCAGGCCTAATCGAAGAAGGCATCAAGGAGCTTGGGGTGAAAAGTGAACCTCATGCTGATTCCAGGCCCCAATCGAAGGAAGCAGAAAGGCAGAATCGAAGGTTGCATCTATGCTTCATGCTAAGCCCAAATCGAAGGGAGCCAGAGAAGCAGAATCGAAGGGTTATGCTGCCCAAATCGAAGCACTCATTTTTCCTCCTTTTATTTTGTTTTGTCTTTACATTTTATTGCTATTCAATATGGTTGTAATGGTGTAGGATTTACTTTCTTCATTTTTATTGCTTTTGTATAAATGTTAGTAATTAGGATGTATGGCAAGATAAAACCAACAAGTAGACAACCCAAAAATCAAAGACAAAATGCATGCAAATCAAACACATTATTTACACATGCACCTCTAGGGTAATCTCACTTGTTGCCTCGGAAAAATAGTCATGTTCCTCGAATATGGGCGTTTTAGAAAAGACCCTCGATAAAAGATCGTAGTCCCTCGATGTTTCCTTCGGTAAACGATCTAGTCCCTAAACGACATTGCTAAAACGTCCCATAGGTTGCCTTATATGACTATACAAACGTCTCATGCCCGTCCCTTCACATCCAATGATGGGGCTTCTTGCCAAATCAATGGTAAGATAGTACCATCTAAAGGAGGAGGAAAAGGAACATTAGAC